ATTAGTTTTCGCGATCACGCTAAAAGGACTAAAAGACCAATTAATTATTTCTTTTTGTAAAACAAAAAAGAAGTTCCGACTTGGCCAGTCTACACAATCCCCATCAACCAATAGTTTACATTTCATGCTCTATTTTTAACTAACAATCATCATCGCCGCGTTGGTCTGCGATGAGACATTCACATGTAAATCGTTAGGCGTTAATTAAAACCTTGCTAAGAACACGGAAATCGCATGTTACCAGTACTTAGATAAATAACGAATGACGTCACTCCGCATGACGTAATGTGATTGACTATGCATGAAGTCTTTAGATTATGTTGACACGTGCTTCGTTTGAAAATATCCTTCTTACAATAAATAAATTGCGCCGAATAATTCTTTGATTAAATTATATCTATTAAGGTTTTCGACCTATTCCCAATTTAACCATTTCGATAATAAAGTTAACTACAATTTAAAGTGTGGAATTATATTGATTTTTCAATCTCGTTCTTTTATTCCCACCCAAGGATGATGTCCTGCTACAGCACAGGGGAGACTTGCATGTCTTTCTTACCTACTTGGCAGCCCTTGAAGAAGAAGAAAAGCGCCATAGTCAGAGTACCAAACCAAACTACGCCAGACATTTTAAAGATCAGGGCCGTACCACAAGAAGAGTTATCCGCAAACTGGAAGGGCGGGTGAGTACCGACTGAGACAGTCTTGACGAACTTGGTTGTGAAATAATTTAGAATTAGTCATTGAAAATGACAAAGGGCGAACCCCACCCACGCCAACTTGTCAGACTATGGTGTCCCATGATTTTCTATTACAATCCCTGGGAATGGCAGATTTCCTTTCATTTGTACATTATTTTCTCTTCATTAAATATGAAGTAAATTTAATTTCGAGGTTCCATGTTCAATGGAAGACAACGGGAATTTGAAGTGCACATACGTCAGACGTGATTATAATTACTTTCTTTCCACGGGACACCTATGTATATGTTCTTTGGCGAAAAAAATCTTTTTGAGCGATTGTGCTGTCCGACGCCAGTATTCAATATACCAATCACAAATTTAACATGATGTATTTATATTATTACTATGACAACATAACTTCTCGTCATATTGATTTATTGGATCTACTACTTACCTATTTCAGTTATCTCAATTCGAATGGCAGCCAGACAATCACGATGGTACATCGGGCTCGACACTTGCATCGCGACGTCTTTCAGAAAGCAACGACCCCGATGTCAGATCTCTGTATATTCAGACACGTTTCCATGACTATATGCTGGCCTGCTGTAGAAATGTTGAATCCTTTTGCAAGCAGTGAGTGATCATGATGACGTAATCACAGTGCCTCGATGTGACCAAATAATCACCTGATGCAATGGCGGCTGTCTGCAGCGACGTCTGTCATATTCACCTGATGCATAGAGTTCAATCCGCGCATGTTCTAGTTCAATCTTTGTCGCATGATTTGGATTTCGTAGATTTATGGCAAAATCAAGTTTGTCTCTTGTATTTAGTCCACAAAAATATAATACAAAAGTGACTGCCAGCTCTTCTCGAACTTTACTATATTGTCGATGTTTACTTTTTGTTTATCCGAACGACTGTCACTTAGTCATGTGGGTATGTTTGTATCAATTGCTTTAATATGTGCTGACAATAGGGGGGCATGTTAGGGAGGGCGCCTTTCTATTTAAACTTGCTCGTTTTATCGAAATTTCAAACTAAAAAACGTGATAGAAATATAGTCAACACTAATCAGTGCGCCCTCTCCGGTAATCGCAAACGCAAATTCCACCGGCGAGGGCGCAACAATTCAAGACAACTCATGACTGCCAAAATAATACACAACATTTACTTATGAGAAGATCATTGCCGTCATTGGTTACAAAACTGCCGCTTATGGAGATTTACCCAGAAATATAGTAATATATATATATAAATATACAAGAACCCATTTTACGTTATACATTATATGAAGCTCGCCATGTACTTACTCGAGATATAGATTAGTTTTATCATTCCAATGTAATTGAAATATAAGGTATGGATTCCAGTGATGTACTATTATAAAAAGTTGTATTCGCTTTGTTCATTTGTTTCTTTTTTGTTTCGCTTAGAATAAACCTCAGCCTCAGACAGCCAACGAGATATCACTGCTCCTCCGCTTTGATCGAGATCTCGCGGCTCCCTCGCTCTGATCCAAATCTCACGGCTCCCTCGCTTTGATCGAAGTCTCGCGGCTCCCTCGATCTGATCGAAATCTCGCGGCTCCCTCGCTCTGATCGAAATCTCACGGCTCCCCC